CCCCCCCCCCCCCCCGGGCAACCCCGGGATAATGCAGAAACTTTAATCCCAGGGGTGGGGAATTGTTAGAAAATTTTGTCCCTTTTTATCCCCGGGATAAAAAGCAAAACTCGTATCCAGGAACATGTTTTGACTGCGTATCTAGCGGTTAGCGCATCCAGTGACATGTATATAATTCAGTAAGAGCACGTCCAAAAGTATTGAAAATGGCGACTACCTCATGCTCAATTTTTTTCAGGGAAATCTTGGGAATTTGTGGGCGAATGCTTAGAAAAAACAATTTACAAAAGTTCAATTCCTGTGCGTAAGATTTTGATGTACATATTCCGGCTGTACTATTATTAAAAAAACCCTTTTGATAGGTGTGTGTTTTTTAAACTGCTTATTGATATTTCCGCTTATTTTTAGTTTTTTAGCGATGCCCCAGAGGTGGGGAATTTACTACATTCTTGCAAAAAAATACAAATGCCGGGGGTATTGGCCGGGGGGGATGGTAACCGCAGCAATTGATCAATGCATTACTCTGTTTGAAAACTAAAGATGCGTATACGATATTAAACATAACCACACATCATCGCAAATCGAATAATAATCCTATGAAATTATACCAACTCCTTATTGCAACATGATGTGCGTGTGCCTTGCATATGCTACTAAATCAGTAACTTAGTAGCAACCACCACGCATACTCGCATGTACTGTATTTGTTTTTACGAATGTACTCGTATAGTGAAATTGCATTTGACTGCATTAAACAGGATATGCATGTGCTTTTTTAGGTTGCAGGTACACCGTTCAAAGAGATCGCCGAAACTAGTCCATGTGTTAAGGTGAAAAAATAATAAATTTGTGATCACTGCATTGGCCAGCATATGCTTTTTTATTAACACAAATGCTGTATATTAATTGGTACCTGTGCAAAGCACATAATTATACTTCTTTATTTGTGATTCGTTTCATATGATCAGATACTGTCATATTTTTAGGCAACTTTAAATTCTTCTAATTCATCTCCTCATTCGTGGATTAAAGATTTTAAAATTCCCTCCAGAGTAAGTGTGGCTAAGTTATAATTGTCTAGATGGTAATCGCAGAGCCGAAATTTTTTTGCCGGGAATCACTTTCTTTGGGAGCTTTGTAACCACTCCTCATTCAGTTACTAAAATTGTGATAAAGTTAAAGTCATATTTATTGAAAATGAACACTAACCCATTCACTAACCCCAAAATAAACCCTTTCCTAACCTTTGGCTCTTAACCCCCACCACCTAACCGGGACCTAAGAGCGTTTAATCTTGTCGGGGGAAAAAAGCAAAATAAAAGTTTTTAGTAAAACACGATGCGTGGGCGAACCCAGGACGTAAGACGTACTTGGCGGTTGCCTTATTTCTTGAGCTCCTGTCAAGATCGGCGAAAAGGCTCGTTAAAAAATTCCTTATAAATTATGGATGTATTGCAATTACTCTACCTAATTAATGCAAAGTCCCCAAATAAGTGATCCCCAAATAAGTTGAAGCAATCGCAGTAGGCAAAAGAAGTATGTTTGTAGAGGAATAGTGTTATACCGAGGTTCTTAATATATATGATTCCTAAATATGATATGGACAATATTTTAATCATTTTATGAAGATATGTCAACAGTATACTGTACATGTATTTTTTGCTACTAAGCATCACCTAATGAGATTATAACCAGCAACTTTGACAGTGAAAATTCAATAAAGCATTTCTTCTCGAATGTACAAAATATAGTGGGAACCGAATGTTGAGAACGCTTTGAAGCATGGTAAACTTACTGCTGAACAGAAGAGTGCACTGAATAGACAACTGTGCATGTCAATTACAGCACAGCACACAGCTCCGGTGACTGCAGCTGAGAGGAACCACATTGCCATGCTACTAATACAGCAGTATCCATGCTTAAGTGGGTCATTTGGATCAGGTCATGTAAGTGCATATTAAATTCAGAGTTTATGATTTTTTTAACTTAATAAAATAATTCAAAGCAAAGTTTTCGTGACGTCACAACCAGGGTTAAGCCTTGTTAAAATAATCATGTGGGTGATTTCAATATACGTTGAAAGGCAGTTTGATTTGTTTTGTTTGCAAAAGTAATGGACTTTAGCGGTGACTACGAGTACGAATACACTAGTACAAGATTTGTCATTCTTCCGTGTTGTTTGTTTACGGAGTTACGCCAACTTGCATGCGCTGAAAGTCGTAGTCAAACCCTCGACGCGAATACGAGTTTGACGATATAGCTATAAGCAAACAACAGAATCACACGCAGAGAAAATCACAAATCGCGTTCTCGTGGTACTCATGTAAAATTTTTAGCGCCTAGTTGTCATGCACATCACGCATACATGAAATTTACATTTCCCAAGATGGTGGACTGCATTCTGTTTTGGCATAATTCTTTTAAAAAGTGGAACCGGCTTTGCATAGACATTGACAACTGAACTTGCTCGTTTATGGTTCATACAGGTCATCAGTTCCGTAATACTATCACATCAATGTGTCTTGTCAATTTATATTTTAGCAATTCTGGGCAAAAAAATTAAAGATCGGCTGTTAAATGTGGGACGGAAAAGTGCAAGGGATGTGAGTAATTTTTAAGATTGCGTTATCATTTGTATTTGATAATTAATTATTTTATACTATCGTATATTTTATGAAATTATATATTAGCATGAGATCCTACCCAACTGATTTAGAGCTATTCCTGTATTCTACTCTTTTCTGATTCCTTCTGTCTCGAGGGATTTTGTCTTTTTCTTTGTGTTCGCATGACATACCGCATACTCAAGCAAGAAGAACATACCAACAGAACATTTTTTATTTTTTTCTTATCCAGTTTTTGACTCATTTTTCTATCACAGAATAAAAAGAACGTGGAAGCTGCTGGTTTAGTATACGAGAAAAAAAAGGCAGGTCGGAAAAGGAAAATTCTTGAATCATCGGAAATCATTCCACCTATTCCAGAAGGTGAATCAGAGCATACCATGAATGAGCAACATGCTCAGTTAATGGCCTTTTGTAAGAGTAACAAGCAGGACGTGATGCTTGTTCGACAATTAATGGACGGGACCTTTCCAAAGAGAAGGAAAACTATTATCGAAGAAAACGAGAGGGTTTGGAAAATCCTCAAAGATTATCCACCATTCGCTAAGGGGAAAGGAATTGAGGTAGTTTAATCATTGCATATTAGCGTTTAATGCGGTAAGAATATGCATTCCAGTGGCAATATGGATTCTACTATAGGCCATAGTGGACAATAGCTATATAAAACACGGAGTTGGCCAGCACATAATTGCTGGAGCCATAGGGAAAACTGGTCGGTATACCTGTCCCCTGCATGTGAGTAAACTGTTTGTCTACGTATACGTCATTTTTAAATTGAATTGGTTTTCCGTGAAACGAAAGTATTCGAAAACATCGATTGACTCTGTAGGTTCGGAAAATCTATTTTTCTAAATTTTCTCGCTCGGCGCCAACCATGGTGGCCCCTCGCTAGAGTATAGCGTCCTTTATCCCCAGCTCAGATATCGCCTATACCGAACAGGGAACATTAGAAGCTGGGGGCGCCAGTATCGAAACAACTCTTAGGGGAGACAAATTTAAAACCGCCCCCTTGAAATTTTGGAGCAACACATCACTGGCTATTATATCGTTATAGTTCTATGGAGTATAAGAATATGAATTTCTTCCTTAAGATAAAAGCTGAGTTGGGAAGAATCCTTCAGCGTGAGCGCGTATCACAAGAAATGAAAGAAGCTTTTGAAATGATTCGACCTCGATTGTTGGCTACGTTAAAACGTAACAGTAAGAAAGAGATACAATCTCTTTTCCTCGAATTAGATGAATGTGATGCAACGCAAATAACAGGTACAGTGATATAAAATACTATACAGCTTTGATTTTTTTGTTCATTCTACACATCGTGGTGCAAAGATATACATGTACAGGTGAATACTGTATGTATAATTATGTTGTTGACCCACACCTTACATCTTACAAATCTTTCAGAAAAGTTTCAATTATATCCGACCAAATGTCTTGGTCTTGTTTTGATCGTCAATTTTCCGTGGGAAAATCCGCAAGTACTTGCCATGCACTTTCCCTAAGTAGTCCCTCGGTCATTTCATTTATTTTTAAATTAAACTCGTGAAATCTCATTTTAGAACTGGAAAATCGTTGTCTGATTGCCGCACTGCCATTCGTGTTAGGCGAGAAAAAGAACGCATCAACATCCGTAGGTGATCTTTTTTGGAAAATTGTGGATGTAAGTAATTTTTATTGTTTAATTGATAATGTATTAATTTAAGCTCCGTTTACCATATGGAGCACTGACCAATGACCGTGCTCTTCGTTAATGTGGCCAATGACGCTGCCCAAAAAAGGTACTGTGTGCACGTGTGCAGGATAGGATCTGACGCGATTGCGCAACTCGTCTCGTGCATTTTTTATTAATACTTCTTGAACCGTGTAATCTCCTATACTAATCGATTTTTAGACAGAAGAAGGCGAAACCAACATGATGAAAGAGATTGAAAAAAGTTCCACACCAAGATTGGTTTCGTCTGGAACAGCGTTAAATGTTGAAGCGTTATGTCTGGCTGCCGAAGGCATGGTGGTGTGCAAATTTGGGCCAACCAACGCAATATTGAATGCTGTGGTAACATTACTTGCCAGTTACTACGATTTCAATGCGAGCTACCCAAGTGGGTTGTATAAAAACGTCTACATATTCTTAGAGCATGTGCTTTTGAGTAAACCACCTAGTTCAATGCCCATTGCGGTGGACAATTTTCTTTCAGAGATAAATCAGTGACACGTTTAGCTTTTTAAATATATCGCCGTTTTTGTTAAAAAAGTCAGTTGTTGTACTTAGCAGTTATTTTTATATTTTATATTAAAATACTTTAAGTTCCTGTCTTACGAACTAAATATTTATGAACCAATGTTACGTTTGGGAATTTGTACATCATTTTGAAAACTTTGAAATACATTAATTTCACTGCTAATATCGGACTTTTTTGAAAGATTTAGTGTACAAGTGTAAGGTGTGGGTCAACAACATAATTATACGTACAGTATATACCTGTACATGTACATGTATGTTTGCACCACGATGTGTAGACTATGGGTTATAAAAGGACCATGCCGACCAAGTTATTCAACCGTCCGTAAGGCCAATAATATTGTTGCAAAGACTAGCAATTCCTGCAAATATCCTCTACACACTGTTAAAATTAAACACAATTTTGTGGATTTTTTTGTCGGAACTCGGAATAGTGCAAGGATATTCCGTGCTGAGCCGCAACCATTCAAATTGCACCAAACGCACTACCCGGACATGGAGTATATGCTAATAATAGTTATTTTCATGTTTCAACTATATATCGTTGTTTAAAGATATCTGTACATTTGCACGCTTGAAAGTCATACATGCCTGTATATATGTATGAGGCGCTTGATCCCTCCAGTGAGCTGCAGTATTCTTGTTCCAGCACTGGTGCGCATTCAACCCGCAGTACGCTTGTATATCGCGTCTGGTTGAGGCTTTTGCCTGGTCCAACATTGGATGTCTGGTGACTCTGGTACACAGTTACATTCAGGTCACCGCCAGTCGACCGGATACATGTTGTACGACAGGGCGTTTGAATGTTAGCATGTGGTGAGAGAGCCAGCCAAGTGTATGGTACAGATTCTTTAAGCATATAATTATATATGCATAAAATAACTATTGCTGCAGAATACTTTTGCAAAATGGTGGAAAATACAATGAAAATAAGCGTACAAATTAATAACAACATGTACATTGTGGAAAAGTGTACGAAACTGTACCCTTAAATATGTTTATTAATTTTCGGTTTAATTGGTTATTTTAACCAATTCGTTATTTCAACCAATTCGTTATTTCAACCAATTTAAAACGTTTAAAATTGAACATTTTAAGTAAAAAAAATTGGTTACCTCAGATCCACGAGTGGTACAATTTACAATTGGTTGAATTAACAATTACAAGTAATTGGTAGATACAACCAATTTATATTTGAACTATATATATTTGATTGAAATAACCATTTAAAAATAAGTAGCAATAACGAGTGTTGAATTGTTTAAAACGACCAATATTCCATTGGTACATTCAACCAATTTATTATGGGTAGAATTGGCATAAATAGAATTGGTTAGACGAACCAATTAATAATTAGCAGAAACGACGAATATATGATTGGTAGCAACGACCAAAATATGTATGGTAGATTTGACAAAAATGAAATTGGTTAAAATAAAGAATTATTAATTGGTGACAATTACCATTAATAATTGGTTGAAATGAACAATAGTATAATTGGTTGTTTCAACCATTTATGTTTTAACCAAATACAATTGGTTCTCTTAACCAATAAAAATTTGTTTACCTCAGATCCACATTCAACCAATTTTTTTTGGTTGTTTTAACAACAAATTTTTAACAGTGTTGCTTTGCATGCACGGCCAAGAGGTGTGATTGTTGTAAAACTTTCTCATCCCCAGTGGGTTTTTTCGTTCCACCGCCACTGGTAGGTCGTATAATATTTCTAATTACTTTTTATCAGTGAAAATGAAGCAATGTGATTGGCTGAGGAGCCTTTCAGAGCGGGCCAGTTTTTTGCATCCGGCCCGCTCTGAAACGCAACTGCCCGCTGTGAAATGCAACTGCCCGCTCTGGTTTTCGCGCCAAAAACCGAGGAGTGAAACAATTTTTAAACGAAAAAATCTGCCAAAAACGTTTGAAAAACATAGCCTAATGATAGTCAGAATACGAAAATGAATTGCATCAAGCCCTAAAGGCTTCATATTAAGCACGATGTTCACGACAATTGACAATATTTTGATATAGAAATGCGACTGAAAGTCGGAAAGTATTTGACATGTTTAAAACTTACGTCGAGAAAACTATATATTTTTTCAATGCTCATGTATTCTGCCACTTAAAAGCGAAAAAATTACAGCTTAAACAGATAATTGTAAAATAAATGTTTTCCCATTTAAAAGAAGGCTTAACAGCAGCAGTGAAAACAAGTCACGAATATATTCTCTACCCATTTGTGTCATGTATTTTTCACTGATATAAATATTGTAAACAAAGTAAAAGTTTGTGTTTAAAAACACTTATTTCAAGCATATATATTATCGTGAAACGACAAGAAAAAATACAAAAGTATAAAAATAACATATCTTTTTCATTGTCCTTTTAGTAGAAAAACGTTAATTAAATCAAAACAGATTCATTTTTATACGTTTTTGATCGGATCTGAACAAGAACCTGTCGTTGTCCTGGGAGCAACTTGTCAAAGCCAAAGCCAAAACGCCAGGCATAAGAGTTTTTATTCCAAAGCTTCTCTGCTACCATATTCATAAAAAAGCA